CATGGCATTTCTTGTCAAAACGGAAAATGTGTTTGAAAGATGTGTGACAACAAAATGCTTGCTCAGTTTGCCAGGAAACTGCTTAGAGGACTGTTGATTCCACTTTTTTAGCATGTTTCAGGGTACCCAGAGCGCCAAGCTATGGTTTTTCTGTTTTGGGGTTTGTTTGTTTTTTGTATTTAGTACAAGATCTACAGGGTCTTACTACACAGATCAGACTCGTAGTGATCCTCCTGTTTTCAGCCTCCCAAACACTGAGATTACAGGTGCATGCTACCACACCTAGTCTCAACTGCCATCTCAGCACGCTCTAGCAGCGGGGCCAGCATGGCATGCCAGGGATCGAACCCCAGTCTCTGCGTCTGCCTAAGCAGGAACTTTAATCTGCTGAGCTATCTGGGCGGCCCTATGGTATGGATTAATAATGGAACCCTGCCTAAGGTAGAATTTCACAGGCATTCCTTTGCACATTGATAAAGTCTGATCTATCAGGAATGACCACCAAGCAGCTTATGAGTCTGGCCAGTATCAGGGTCAACATTTTAAAATATGAACAGACATTGTTATGGTCTGGCTCTTGATGTCTCCCCAAAGCCTCATTCAGTCATAGATGGGGATTTTTTTATAGGTGACTGAAGCAAGTGTGTGTGATGCTGGGATTAAGGGCGTGTGATTAGTAAATCAGAACACTGGTTTGGTAGCCCCCCAAACCTGGTGGCCAGATACAATATAAGAGACAGAAAGAGACTTGTCTTCCCCTTCGTTGCTTTGCTTCCTCTGCCTGCCATGAACTGTTTCCCTTCTGCAATGTTTGTCTGCCATGCCACCTTGCCTTCGTGCCAGATGACTACACATAGACTGAAACCTCTACAAACTGTGAGCCAAATAAACCTTTCTTCTTTTTTTTTTTTTAATTTTTTTTTTTTTTTATTTTTTTGAGAGAGAGAGAGAGACAGAGAGAGAGACAGAGAGAGAGACAGAGAGAGAGTGAGTGTGTGTGGTGTGTGTGGCCAGCTCAGCCCACCAGGGGGCGGGGCTGGCTGGCATGTGGTGCTGGGGGATCGAAACCGCGGTCCCTGATGCTTTGCTAAGCTTGTTCTAAGTAGGTGCTTTAGACCACTGAGCCATCTCTCCAGCCCCCAACCTTTCTTCTCTTAATTTTAGACACTGGGCATTTTGTCTCAGCAAGGAGAAAAGTAACTAACACAAATACGTTAGGGTTCTTCTCCAGAAATTAGATCACAAGGTCAGTTACTGAAATCTGTGACAGATAGGAAACAGAGAAAAGTATAAATACAAAGTGGTTGAAATATATGGTATAAACATTTTACAAATTTAAACTTTTAAAAATTCATTACAGGGCTGGCCAAATAGCTCAGCAGATTAAGGTGCCTGAAAGCAGACGCAGGGGCCAGAGGTTCAATCCCCAGGCCTGCCATACCAGCCCCGCCCCCAGGGTGCACTGAGACAGCAATTGAGTCTGGGCGTGGTGGCATGTGCCTGTAATCCCAGCTCTTGGAAGGCTGTAAACAGGAGGAACACTACTAGTCTGATCTAGTAGTGAGACCCTGAACACCCTGTGTATTCCCTAAAAATACAAAAAAAAAAAAAAAGAATCATTACCGTAAAAGAATAAACTGCACAAAGCATGTGGTACCAGGGATCTTTGCCCTTGCTATTAATCTTCCTCAAAATACTCCTCCTTGCTTCAAATATATTTATCCTACTGTTCTTACCCATTTCTGAGGCAGTTCTGGAAGATCTTTTTCTTTACTGTCTTTAGATGTACTGTCATGGCTGCCTTGATGACTTTAATCAGTTGAAAGCATTTACCTTTGATAATCATTTTGATTTTGGGAAAGGGCCAAAAGTCACACAGTGCCAGATCAAGTGAATAAAACACATGAGGATATATATGTAGTAGTAGTAATAATAATAATAGTAATAATGCAATAATATATTTTTACAATTTTCCTTTTCCACTGGATGAGAGTGGGCAGCAGCATTTGCCATATTTTTTGTCATACTTTATAAAGCCACTCACAAGAGAGCTTCCAGATCTGCTTCATAAAGTGGCAAGAGGGCTAGAGAGATAGCTCAATAGAAAAAGCGCTTACCTGGCATGCGTGGGGTCCTGAGTTCAATCCCTGGTACCATAAATAAATAAATAAAATAAAATGGCAAGAATGATAGGATAAGTGTGTTTGAAGAAAGGGGATATATTGGGGATGGGACACAGCAATGTGTCATTTACTTCCTATAACTTTTTAAAATTTAAACATTCATTGCATTTTTATCTCTTTTGTATGTAATGGACAGCATAGTTATAAATGAATGCAGAACGGGTACTATCTATTTCTCAGCATATTTTATGCAATAATGAACACCACTAAAGTGGATTCAATTTAAAGAAATGAATGGTAAAGGAACAAATAAAATCTTTATTAGAAAAACAATTTGTCATGTTGTAAAAAGGATTACTGTGCTCATAACTAGATGCTCTAGCCACCCTATTTTTATTTATTTTTTATTTATTTTATCTTTTATTTATTTTTTTGGCTGGCTCAGCCCGCCCTGAGGGCAGGGCTGGCATGGCATGTGATGCCAGGGATTGAACCGAAGTCCCCTATACCTGCCTAAGCTTGCCTAAGTAGGCACTTTAGACCACTGAGCTATCTCGCCAGCGCTATTACTTATTTTTTAATATATGAAAGTGAGGAAGGCAAAGGGTAGCTAGAGAAATAGAAGAGCTTACATAAAATAGCTTTGTATTCATTAAGAAGAGATCAACAGGACCTACATTAAGACATATACAGAAAATCTGAACAAAATGGACAAGATGAATGATACAAAGTGTTCTCAGTTTGTATTAAATACAACATAAAGGAGTATTAACTACATCAACAGAAGAGGCTAAATTTTTTAGGAAAGAGAAACTGTGATGGGGGAATGGAGGAAGTGGAAAAAAAAGAAAAAAGTAGTTAAGATAGTTATACTACAAATTTCTCTTAGTTCATTGAAAAGGTTTGTGTTGATACTGTTTAGATGATTAAGTGCTAAAATCTTGTACTCAGAGTAACTAATGTAAAGATAATATGCAATTTATTAACCATTGTTACCCTCCTATTATCTTATTTTGAAATTCTGTGGGTCTTTTTCTCTTAAAAATAAAAATAATGGGGCTGGTGAGATGGCTCACTGGTCTAAAGCACCTACTTAGAACAAGCTAAGCTAAGCAAAGCACAGGGACCGAGGTTCAATCCCCCAGCACCACATGTCAGCCAGCCCCGCCCCCTGGTGGGCTGAGCTGGCCACACACACACACACACACACACACACACACAATAAATAAATAAAAATTTAAAAAATAAAATAAAATTCATTATAAAAAAAAATGTTTAAAAAAAATAAAAATAACATGGCTGGCAAGATAGCTCAGCAGACTAAAGTACCTGCTGATGCAAGTTTAGGCAAGCACAGGGACTGTGGTTCAATCCCCAGAACCACATTCCAGCCAGCCCTGCCCCCAGGGTGGGCTGAGTCAGCCACAGAGTCTGAGCATAGTGGTGTATGTCCGTAATCCCAGTGCTAGGGAGGCTGAAAGCAGGAGGATCACCATGAGCCCAATCTGCGTAGTGAGACTCTGTAACAACCAACTACATTAAAAATAATAAAAAGTAAAAAACATTTTTTAAAAATCAAAAACTAAAGTGAAATTCAAGCACTATAAGTCATATGATATGGAGAGAAAAAAGAAAACAAATTTTCTTGTTCTACATAGTCATTATTTAGAAACAATCACTAGGAAACACATACTTAATGAGAATACTGGAGTCATTGTAAACTCCAGTAGAAAGCAAGAAACACAGTGTAGTTTAGTATGAGACTGGCCTTTGTATGAGGATACAGCTACATATAAAACACAGTTTTATCACACTACAGCCTCCTAGTTGTATAACTTTAGCAAGTTAATGAAATGTCTCTGGACCTCTGTCTCATCTGTAAATAACAGCACAATACCCACCATTTGCAAGACTGCTACAGTAATTCATTCATGTAAAGCACCTAATACAGTGCTAGGTAGGTACTGCTGTTACTATTATAATCATTAATACTGTTAGTTTTATAATTATTTTGCACCAATGAAGACAGCAAAGATAAATGAGGCATCTACTGAAAACCAAAATGGTTCTCTTCTTCTACCCAACAATATTTCAGAATGACCTACAACCCCATCCCTGTTTTAATTTTTTATTTTCAGAAAGGGTCTTACCAAGCCACTAAGTTACCTGGGCTGAGTTTGAATCTGGGATCCTCTACTTCTGCCTCTAGAAGTAGGAGGAGAGTTAAAAGTGTATGCAGCCACACCCAGCTTGTTATTTCTTTTAAAAGAGAATGACAAGAAAACCTAGGAAACACACTATAACCATTATAAAATATCTTAATAGCAATTTACTTTCCAAATATGTTTTTTAAGTCTTTTTTTCTTGTGAGCCTAAAGCTTTGAAAATACAGTTATTAGCCTTTATAACTCATACCATATAAGCACATACAGCAAGTGCAAGTAATACCAGCAACATAATGGTTTTTAAGCTAAAATAATTAGAATATATGCCAAAAAAATTGTCATTAGGGTCACTAATGAAGCAAGGGTAAGTTTACATTAGAAATAGTCACAGAATGATCTATAATCCAGATACATTAAAAAAAAACCCAAAAAACATAGCATAAGGCTGGCCCTAAGAGCAAGGTACTGGCATGTCTTGTACAAAATGTGCCCTCCACACATGAACTCCTGTGACCCAGAGGGAAAGGTGGACAAAAGCACAAGATGTGAAGAACAAACAGCTTCAGAGGGCCAAGTCCACAAGAGAAAGACCCCAAAACGTTAGAGATATCTACCCAGAGGGTTTAAAGGGATGAATTAAAAATAAAAGTTCTTATATAATAATATAAACTATATAAATATTGTATTAAGAATTAAAATTATTTTCATTTACCTGATTGCTTAGAATTTCTTTCTTTCCACTGAATATTTTTGCATTTGATCTGGTTTTGTCTCTCTTTTCGGAGTCGTTCTAATCTTTGAGCTTAAAAAGAAATATTATAACTATAAGTTTGTCAATGAAAGTTTACTATAAACAAAGACATAATTAACTACCTTTATATGAATAAAGATGTTTTATATTGCATATGTAGGGAAAAAGTCATAAAATTTTAAAGGTGGCACCCCTGAAAAGCAAATACCAACAAAAACATGAAAATATTCTTGATTTATAATTGAAATTAGAGGATATAAAACATTAATAGAGATCATAAAGATAGTATTAACATGGAAGAGAATAATAAAATGTGAAAACTTCTGTGATTAATATGACATTTCATTATATAAATCATTAATAACGGTCTTAAAGGAATTTTAATGCACAAATGAACTGAAGTGAATATTACATTACAGGAATAAAATTACTGTTATGAATTACTCTACCCGTTTCAAAAATTAAAGATAAATGAACTCAGACTAGACTATTAAAGTTTTAAATATAAAATCCTTTATCTAAAAATCATGAAAATTATAAAATGTCAAAGCTATATAAATTAGCATAGCTTTTCTTCAGTGGGCTGAAACAGTTTATAGGTAGTAAAATAAATGATTTGTATCTTTGTAACATTAGTCAAATCTTAAAAAGAACAATTTTTCTTTTAAAAAATTTTAAGATACGCTGAAAGTATTAAAGTAAATTCTTTAGTCACTAGAACAACCAAAAATCTCAATTAATTATTAGCAGCTAAGTGCTATCTAAAGAAATCTCAACACCACCATGAGTTACCTAAAATTATGCATTTGTGATCATCTCACTATCAGCTGATCCACCTTCAAAACTGGTAAACTGATCCTTTAAAGAAATACCATCTAACGTCCTTCACAAGGGTCGCATTACAGAGATCACAAGGGAAAGGAAAGTCACAACTGAGTCCATCTCTTGAAACTGTTTTGTCTTGCTTATCTTCAATATCCTATTCTGGTACATTACTAATAGGAAAAAAAAAAATATTTCCAACCACTCTGAAAGTGGGGAATCATACACTCCTGCCCTGACACTGAAGTAGGGAAATAACGAAGATCATCTTACCAGAAATTTAAACTGTGCTGCCAAAAGCATTCTGACAATGGCACTATATTCTAACCAAATTCCACCGAAGAAAAATACATTCAATTGCAATTAATAAATGTGAAGGGTACAGTCAAAGTAATATAATCATAAAGCTCTCAATTTAGCATCATTCTCCTACTGAAATCCATTTGACCTGTCACATAAGATATCATCTCAATAACCTGCAAGGAAGTCAGTTTTGACGAGAGAACTGAGAATCAATGGTTCTAAATTATATTCAAACCTTCACTCAAATCCTATTTTGATAAAAGTTCCTTTAGATATGGGAAATGCTATTAATTATTTCCATCATGAGAGCTAATCATTCTTTTTGATGTCATGGATGGTGAATTCTGAACCAAAACCTTAATGTGAGTTTCACTGTACATTGTATCCAGCTCTATCTGTAATAATCCTTTATGCACACTTTACATTTGTACCACAAAAATACAAAAATATTTTCAATGTTGTACTACGTATTCTATCATGACCTTTCCTAAGAGGGTAGATTACTGCTGGCGATCTAGAGATTTTATTTCCTGATGATCTAAAAAATAAAAATTATCTCCTAAAATACCTGATTGTATCAGAACTACAATACACTACATCTAAGTAAAGCCTAGGTTCACTACATTCCCCTTGAAAGCCTACCAAAATGTATAGGCTGGAAAATAGGCAATAAGTTTTTTAAAGCTAATAATCAAATACACACATAGCAAAGTTGAGCATATTTAAACCACAAAGATCAATTGGTAGTGATCAACTTAATGGTAGTATAAAAACAGGGGCATCTTTTCTAATTTTATACCTAATGTAGAAATTCCTATTAAAAATAAGCCCTCATAAGCTAAATTAAGTCTTTCCTTCTTTAAAAAATAAACATTTAATAAAATCAGGGCTGGGGATATAGCTCAGCAGCACAACACCCGCCTGGCAAGTACAATGTCGTGAATTTAATTCCCAGTATCAATAAAATAAAATAAAATAAAATAAAATAAAATAAAATAAAATAAAATCAGCCCTAACCAAGACTCAGTTGTCTCAACCTGCTCTTTCGTCTGTCTACAATTCCTGCAGGGATAAGAACTGTCTCAGGCAGCAGCCTATACTCTTCAGCTGGTCAGCTCTCTGTATTAAAGGATCATTACTTTGTCAACCTGCAACCTGCCTCCATGCAGTCTTTCCTACTGGAATAATGCTGCTCCGTTAAGGCAGTCAAAACAGGTGCACCTCCCTTTTTACAAGCACATTTTTAGAAAGGTAAGGTGTCTTTTCACTTTTCCAGCTATTTCTCTCTGTTCACTCCTTTCTAATAAAATCATTCCAGAGAACACTCCATTCACACTCACAGAGAGAGATGTTGCTCAGCCTCAGGGTGACACATCAATGTTCCTAGCAATATGTAGAACCAAGGTTCCCCCACACTGAGCCTGTCCCAACATTATACATTATTCCATAAAACTGTTTACTGATTTAAAGTTCAGAAGACATGACTAGTAGACAATGTTTACCTGTGTTTGAGCGTCTTCTAATACCAAAGTCCCAACTTGAGGTAATATCGACTGACTGGGCATACACATAGCCCTGAGTCTCACCATTGCTTCCCTGAATTTCTGACCCACTGTCTCCAGGCATTGAAGGAGGATGAATCTTCTCTAGGTCAACATCATGATCAATGAGAACCATCTCACACATTCCCGTGTCATCACTGGTCACATGTGACTGTCGAATATGAGCTAGAATGATAGTTGGATTGTCCAAGAAGGCCATTCTTTCTGTGGGCCAACTTCCTTAAAAGGCTATTTTCTCCTCTTCATATTGTTTCACGAGCTCACCTACCTAGAAACATGATGCACACAGTAATATTTAAGAAAAATGCACAAATGACTGAATCATTCTTCAAACAAATTCAATGCGGTAAAACACTACCTTGAAAATCAACATTTATTCCTATACCTAGGATCTTAAAAAGATTAAATCAAAGCTGAAAGGAAATCCTATAAGCATGATGGTTATGGCTCTAGTCAATGCGCTCTCCATGGTATCAGAAAAGAAGGCATATTCTCTTGCATAACAATAGTAACTCCTGAGGTTACTCAAAGCACAGAACTCCCATTAAAACAAATTCTCCTTCCTTTCTAACTTCACTCTCATACAATCTTCTCATTACCTTACAAGGTTTTGGGAAAATGAGTTGTATTTTCCTCAAAGTAAAAAACTATATTTCATAGTTTACATTTTCCTTCCTGTCATATGATTGTGAAATATTTAAAAGGGCACAATGCTTTCTGAGATACCAGGGATTTTACAAAATTGCAATTCAAAGTAATTTTGCTCAATAAACATATTTCCCTTTCTTTAAGATAGAATTGTGCTTTTAAAATAAAACTTATTAATCAAAGTTGCCTTGCTACAGAATTAATTTCTTATTTTAGAAACCTAATTATAAGAGCTGCTTCCTTGATCCTGTTCAAACAGTAAGGATATTTATTCTAGGAATAAGATGATACCTCCTCAGTTAAATGGGAACACTCAACAAATAAAAACAACGCCGAACAGTGGTTAGGAACTAGGCCCTAGAGACTGAACTGGGTTCATTCCTAGCCCTTTCACTTGCTAGCTGTGCAATCTTGGTCAAAATACTTAATCTCTTCATGTTCTTCATTTATAAACTAGAGGTTCCAGGGATAACAGGATATATAGGTGGTAATGCAAGTAAAGTATTCATAAGACAGCACACGGCAAACAAACATAGGCTAATGTAAGCATGATGATGGTAAAAAAAAAAAAAAATCATTAGTTTCAGTTCTGAATTCTTGTTTAAAGTATACATAAAGCCTATCAATATATTATCCTTTTTTGGTAAGTGGGCGGCAGACAAAATAAATCTGTGGTTCCTTTGTGACAGAGAATACTACACGTCATCTGGACCACCTCCTTCTTTCCCTAAAATCATTTTGAAGCACAAAGAATGCGAAAGCTTAACTGAATACGTTCCTGAGGATAGTCCTAGAAGAGTTTTATCTTTAGCAGTGTCTGTAACTGCCAACCATTTGGTGCTGAAGCAGAAGGCCCACAACCTCAAGCCCAGCCAGGAAATTCAGTGACTTAGCGACACCCTTTCACAAAATAAAAATAAATAAAAAAGGGTTAGGTATGCAGCTTAGTGCAAAGAACCTGGGTTCAATTCCTAGTACAGCAAAAACAAAACAAAACAGAAAGAAAAAAAAAAAAAAAAAACCCACCTAACTAAGGCTGGGAATGTAGTTCAAAGAGCAGAGCACTTGTCTAGGCCATGTAAGGCTTTGGGTTTCATCCCTGTTACTGACAAAGAAAAAAAAACAAAAAAAAAAAACTATAACCAGATTTTGTCATTTATTTCTTCCAGAGATAGGACATAAGGGAATATCTAGTTAGTAAACCACTACAGGTAACAGAAATTTTTAAAAATTTGAGATAGTAATATCATTCTATTATTACCTAATGAGTTTTAAGATGTTGAAATTAAAACAAGTTTAACTGATAACTGCTAATCAAGTAAATAACACTAATATTCACCTTTTTCCTCTACTGCATATTGACTAGTTATTTTACACTGCAGCTAATAGGAAATGTAAACATGAATAAGGCATCCCTGAATAAAAAAAAATGTATACTTTTTTTTTTCCATTGTCATTTTTAGGGAAGGGAAGGCTATTTAGGGCCTCACCACTAGATCGGACTCATAGTGATCCGCTTGTTTACAGAGCTGGGATTCCAGGCGCCCGCCACCGCGCCCAGTCTCACCTGCCTTCTCAGCACACCCCGGGGATGAACCCCGGGCAGGCCCCTGCACCTGCTTGCAGGCGCTTTAATCCGCTGAGCCATTTGGCCAGCCCTGTATACTCTCATATTGACCTTTTACATCGTCTAATACCATGGGATTCTTTTAAGTGTCAACTTTCTTAGCTTTTTAGTTTCAGAAATATGAGTTTAAGTATATGTGTCAGAAAATTACAAAATTAAAAGGGAGCATTTAAGTTTTACTTGTAAACACAACTTTTTCTATAACCGCGGAGAAATGTATATGCCCAGAAATTTACCCATACATGAAGTACCTGTCACAGAATCACAAGACCACAGACTGCCAGAGCTGCACACATCCTCACAGAGCAATCACAAGAAGCCATGTTGCTCGCGGAAAGAAAGGCAAGAGACTGAGCGCTGGCAGAGAGCCAGGCACCTCTGCCTGGAACAGAACAGCTGTATGGAATGGCTCTCCACGCGCGCGCGCGCGCACACACACACACACACACACACACACACACACGGACTTCGTAAGAAGTAACACACTTAATGGGTGTTTTGCCACCAAAACGTCAAAAGGTGAAGTGAAAGTACCCTCAAGAACATCTTGTTCAGCAGAATCAATCAGCTCCATTCCAGTTTATGAAGGAAAGAGGAAAGGGCAAACACCTCTGCGGCACACACCAACCACCCGACTTAATCCTTATGGAACAGAGGACTTAAAACACCACACCAACTGCAGTTAGATGCTCTATTAAAACACTGTGACTGGGCTAGGGATGAAGCTCAGGGGTAGACAGGTCTTGCCTAATATGTAGCCAAGGAATTAACCTCAACATTCCAAAAAAAAAAAAAAAAAACCCACTGATTTCATTTAGGAATCTGTATCAGTCACTCTACAAACAATTAGTCAATCCCAGGTCTGACTGAATTCCCAGGAAATGTGCTGCTGCTGTTTAAGTAAGCATACCCTTTCCATATAAGTCACTTTCCTACTACACGTTCTTGAAGACTTAGACTATAAGTTTCCCAAGCACAAGAGCTGTAATGCCACAACCCTTTTGGCAAAAAGAATGGTAGACAGTAGACATGTAATACATGCTGCCTTCCAATTTCTAGTGACTATGCAATTTTGTTGTAGTCAGGATGAGCACGTCAGGTGATTATGAAGAAAGGGT